CTTGTAATTAATATTAAAATCTATTGGACATAAAGTGGGGGTCAGTTTCCTGTTGTTATTATAAAGTAAGGGGGCATGGTGGAGTAATGGATAGCAGCTCGGATTGAGGAATCGGATAGCCGAGTTCGAATTCCAGTCGAATCCATTACATTCACTTACGTGCTAATACATTTAGGAAAGGTATGAATCTTCCTCTTCTCCCTCCAGCTATGGATAAATAGCAGACCGGGTTCTATATCCTTGGATGGCAACTGATCTACTGCGGGAAAAAAAAATCTGCCTCGTCAGTTATGTATCGTAAGATACATGATCGCCTAAGCGTGTATCACGCATGGCATATAACTGGATTATAAAGTAACCACCCAAAATTGTAAGTAATATGTTTAAACTTTGAAATATTCATATTTTCTAACACTCGAAAATATTTGACAAACATAACGGTTTCATTCTGGCCGAAGAAAGAAAGAATGCCCAACTCTTTCCATTTTTTTTCATTCTTAACCCTTTTGCCTTTCTTCCTTACAATTTTATCATCCCACAGTTTCCAGCACTTCAGGGGTTAAAAACCAATAATAAATGAAGCTGCATTAGCGGGGTCTCTTGGGAAAACTGAAATTGCTAGCAATGGCTAATTTGCAAATCATTCCTCTACACAGCATATAGTGGGCATCCATGCAAACACAAGCCCTAAATATACACATATGGCACAAATATACATAGACAAATTTATGTGTGCATACATAAACATTGTATACATAAACATTCATCTGTACACACACTATATATATATATATATATATATATATATATATATATATACATAAACATTGTATACATAAACATTCATCTGTACGCACTATATATATATATATATATATATATATAAACGCTATATTTTTGTGGGTATATGCGCTTGTGAGTAGACATTATTGTTTTTAAAAGGTAAAATTAAATTCTATTCGTCTAAATATCAGAAGTCCTATTATAGAAAATGCGCCTTTTGACAAGAATCGAAACTATAGTTTCTTTTTTTCTTTTCACACTCACACACACATACAAAACACATATAATTTCTAAATTCTTTTTCTTACGTATATAAGAGTGTTCTACTTAAAATTCTTTTGACAGTTACTGCACATTTTCTCTTTATTTACACATTTACAGCGCTCTATCACGCTTATCGATTTCTAAAAGTGGGTGGCAGTTTCTTAATATCATACACACACACACACACAGACATATATATATATATATATATATATATATATATATATATATATATATATATATATATATATTAAAAACAGGTTTGATTAAAATTAAGAATAACTAACATGGTCTGTTTCTTTCATTTTTATTATATTTTCCCAATTTTCGAATGCGGTGTTGTGTATTGTGCTCGAAATTATGGATGAACTGTCCAAAGTTCATATTTTGTTTTTGTTTCGTTCAAGTACTTTGGATCGCCTCAGTCATTATCAAGAACCATTGTGGTTTCCGTGTGGTAGTTACAATACCTTTGTCTACATCCTGGCATTTTTTAGGTTTTTTAAGTCTTTCCTGGAATTGGGTGCTGTAGAGTATTTTGGTGTTAGTTATCTACTAATATTTGTCTTATGCTGACATATTTTGGTCGTTCGTCGTGTGCTGGTCGATATGTGTGAATGGATTGCACTAATTCTCGGCAGGTTACAGATTAGTCTGCGAGAGAATGTAGTGCATGTGTGCCCGATGTAAGAATTGAATAATGTTTGTTTTTGTTTTGTTTTTAATATTAATGCATTATTTTTACACAGGGCGTGGGAGGAATTTTTGAAGACCCGTGTTGTTGGTAATAATGAGATGTCTTCTAAAATTTTTATAATAGATGATAAATCTTAAGTGTTTGTACGGATATGTTTCAGCGATTTTTTTAATGACTTTTTTTTTTTATCTTCATTATAATTAGGGCGCATCAGAATGAGTTATAATGGCGTTTTTCTCTTTGTTTGTATCAGGGACGTTTTGTTTTTTGTTTCTCTTTTTTTTTCTAAATTTCGGCATAGCTAATTTTAATTGTTTGCTTTTTAAAGCCGTTGGTTTCTGTTGGATTTAAAATTGAGAGTGCGCTAATCCCACAAGTATCGACAATAAATATAGGACCCTACATAATATCACTGATCATCGCAAAAGTGATAGTAGCACAATGCTGTATACGAACTAGTAGAGAGAAAAAATCCGAGATCTGCTCGGAGTGGACTAATTTGAAATCCAAAAGAAAACCAACAACTCATTTACACACACACACACACACACACACACACACACACACACACATTGTACTGTACAGTTGATTTTCGGTGGATTACGCTTCATCTTATACGAGCGTTCACATTTCGCATTGAGAAACTGCATTATCTTGCCATCAGTCTTGAGTCTTGACTCTTCTTGACTATTCGTTTTCGATGACCAGGATATATATATATATATATATATATATATATATATATATATATATATATATAATGTATGTATATAAAAGAAAAACGCTTTCTGATCTCTTTTGTCCGAAAGTAATGAAATTTTTGCTCCTCTAATCCTAAATAATCCCAACTTATTTTCCTTACACATAATTTTGTCTTCCATTCCGGCTTAAATACTCTGAATGTAACGCACGTCGACAAAACGAGCTGTCACTTAAAACAGCTTAACACATTTGTCCCATTATCTTCTTATGTGTGTGTGTGTGTTTGTCCCATTATCCATTATCTTATGTGTGTGTGTGTGTGTGTGTGTGTGTGTGTGTGTGTGTGTGTGTGTGTGTGCGTTGCTATTGACACCGTAATGTTTTAAAATTTTTGAATAAAAATTTTCACTTTTATTTCTTTATAAGGGTAAATAATACATACTTAGGAAAGATAAATAATTTTTTATAAGCTTGGAAATAAGCATTGCCGGGGGAGTGAACGTAGTTAAAATAACAGTGGTGTCAATGGAAAAGTATGCTTTTGAAACATAGGTTTTGGCGGCCACGAAGGCCCATGTTTGCCAGAAAATTATTCCAATCGTTATTTATAAATTGCAAGTATGGGACACCCAGTGAGAATCGAATACAAACTCCGTTGTAATGACCAGCTAAAATAACCCAGTTAATCACTGCCCGACGCCGAGGCGACCTCGTTTATCAGTTTTAAACGTAAGACAGTCCAAGTATATAACAAACACAAGATTATCGTCTCGTGCTTATTGATATAATAATAATAATATTAATATTTGATACACATGTTTCAAGGTCATAATGCCACTAAACCGCAAGGAGCTACTGTGAGTGAACCAGGAACCCAATTCTAAACAGGAAACAAGGGGTAAACCTCTACTCCTGTTCAAAAACCCGGAGAGGAATGTGAACAGGGCAATAGGAAAACCTATCTACTAGAGAGTATAAAACAATATTGACTAGCTTCCAGTTTAAGATCCGAAATTATTTTAGCATATCAAATACTGAATTGTTTCTCTTAAATGACATTACCTAACCTCATACTGTGAACGCATTCTTTTTTTCATAAAAATAAAAATAAATATATATATCTATATTATAATTTTTTCATATAGACAAAAACAATTTACTCACTACAAAGATGCAACTTGTCACCCTTTTGCCTTGCTTATCTTTATTTATTTTTTTATCCCTATACGTCCTCTCTTAAAATTTCTTTTTTCAAACAAATAGGAAAAGGAAGTAACGTCCCACCTGTGGCTTGCTTACAAACAGAATTGTTCATAAGCATTTTGGTTCTCACCAGTCGAGGTGCAACTAAATGCACCGAAACGAAGTTGCATCTTTGTAGTGAGTAATTTGTTTTTTGTCTATATCAAAAAATTATAATAAATAATTATTGATCTACTCTCGGTATTGAGCCCTCATTTGAATTAATGCTGTGAACGTTAGAATTTATATATTATTTTCGTTCCCATTACATTCGGATATATATAATCGAAGTCACTCTATGCAAGGCAGTAAAGCCACTAAGACACAAGGGATTACTGAGTGTGAAAGAATCAGAAAACAAAAACATTAAGGAGCGAGAACAAAAAGTAATAGTAGATAACGATTGACACTGCATTTAAATTTTTTGAAGATCAAAGATGTCTGGAAAGCCTGGAACCGGAAGAAGAGTGTTTTACAAGTGAGAAATGCGAGAAAAGAAAGTGTTGGTGTTAACTGTTAAGATAGAACTTAGGGTTACATTTTTAACCAATTAATTGATTGATGAGACCTTGTTTCTTATCTAGTACTAAACTTAAATTCATAAAGTCTAGGTAGCGTAGCGAAGAGTTCATCCGAACAATTACCATGAAAATGTTTAGGAAAGGCACAGGAAAGCAACTTGTGGGGAAGTGAATGAAGCCATGACACCAGATCATGACCAATAATATTGCTGATAATTGAACATTTGTGACTAATAGAATAGAATTTGTAAACGTTACCTAACTTTAAATAAGTAATTAAAGCAGAAAAGTTTGTACTTCTGCACTTATTGTTTTTAATCTAAAAAAGTGGTGCACTCATCGAATAAAATGCAAAGAAAAAATAATTATATTGCAACATTTCCGGTTTGTTGTTTTTTTTTTTTATTATTATTCCTGGGTGGAGGAGAGTAAGACTTACTTTTCATATTCAAATGAGAGTTAACTTCACTCTCACCTATTTTAAAAGTATTTATTATTATTTCACAAATTCCTCACAAAATATGTGAGGTCACATTATGAGGCTAGGTAAATTCTAAATTTTATTGGTCAGAAAAGTGGAATTATATTTCAGCTGTAAAAAAATGTATGGTCATAATATGAGGCTACGTAAAATTTACAAATTCAAAATTTTATTGATCAGAAAAATGGAATTATATTTCATTTGCAAAAAAAAAAAAAAAATGGCCCGCAAGAATATGAGGTAAATTTTATAAATTTCGAATTTTATTGGTCAGAAAAGTGGAATAATATTTCATTTATTTGTGAAAAAAATGTCCGGTCAAAATATGAGGTTAGGTAAAGTTTACATATTCCAAATTTTATTGGTCAGAAATGTGGAATTATATTTCATTTGTTAAAAAAAAAAAAAAAAAAAAAAAAAACAGACTATGAAGTTAGGTAAAGTTTACATTATTCCAAATTATACTAAGAAAAATTGAATTATATTTTGAATTCCTTTATTTGTAGAAAAATGTATGATCAGAATATGAGGCTCTTAAAGTTTACAAATTCTAAATTTTATTGGTCTGAAAAGTTGATTCATATTTCATTTGTCTGCGAAAAAAATTTGTTATCAGAATATGAGGATACGGGAAGCAATCTAAGAGAAATGATACAGACAAGCAAAAATTGTTTCGGACGCTAAACTGGAAGCGTGTGGAACGTATATTATTTTTAATTTGTCAATTTATCTTGCATCCGTTCATTTTTCTCACTCTTCTTGTATCTTTTACTTTCTGGGCAACTATGTTATACACACAAGTCCGACCATTGTATTGTATGTTGGGTCGGGAAAAAATAAGAAGGAAAAAAAAAAGAAGAAAGAGAAAAAATACCAACCTACCAACCCTTGATAAGATTTTAATATCAGCAGTTCAGCGTTTCTCTCAAATTTGCTCTCCCACTCTATTTTGCTTTATGTTTTTCTCTTCCCTTTAACGGCCTTTGTTTTTTATCTTCTTCTTCCTTCCTTCCTTCCTTTCTCACTCTAAAGCTATTTACAATTTCAAGTCCGACAGTAAATAGGTGTGTGCGTAAGAGAGAAGAAAATAGAGAGAGTGGGTGAATTACATACACATATACAGACGGAGTAAGTCGAGGGCTTAACAGTTAGTCGAGCACTTGGCTTCATACACTAGTGTGCCTTCTCAGCGTTCAGTCGTCGGGTTATTCTCTTGGCTCAACTATTGTAACCATTTTTATTCTTTACTTTTTGTGTTCGTACGGTAAGCAGTTTTTTTTTTAATTGGAATCCATAATTTATCTACATTTTTCTATCATTGTGTGCGTTGTGTATTTTTTTTTTTTTCTCTCGTGTTTTTTTTTTTTTTTTGTTAATAATCCCATCAAACTAAAATGGGTGTCTACTTTTTTTTTTTTTTTTTAAGCTATTGCTCTCTACTTAATACTGCAATTTTCACTTTTTCTTTTAATTAGAGACTTTATTTCTTTAAACATAAGTAGTCTTAGAAAGTTCGCAACACTCGCTTAATTTAAGACGCTTTTTTTTTTAAGAATCTTTTTCCCAGTGTGTGACATGAAAACTCAAAATGCTCTTCTAACCTCCACTTTTCTCTTCAGTCCATCTCTACGCTTTTTCTTACTGCATTTATTTTAAATTTAAGATTAAAACTTTTACTGTTGTGTGCTTTTCTAAGCAACTTCTCCTCTTACTCGTTATTCCTTCTGCAGCAGCTATGATTCTATCCAATGCTATAATCCGCTCGTTATGTTGAACACTGCCTCTAATTTTGCCAAACAGGCCAGAACTGTATTGAGTCTTAAATTTCTCCCGTTTTATAAACTTTTAAAAAAAAAAAAAAAAAAAAAAAACTTCAAGCGCCTGCAAACCGACTTCATCTATCCCCCCCCAAATAGTTTATATCTTGTATGGTATCCAGTCTCTGACCGCCCTCTCCCACCACGAGTCTGTCGGAATGTTAAAATGCGACTCTCCTTCCTATCACCCCCCCCTCTTTCGCGGATAATTCCCTACATTCCTTTAGGTTTGTAGAACCCCCCCCCCAACAACCTTCATGTTTAAGGCCTTTCTCTCTGACACTTAGGTTTCCTGCTGCTATTTTGTAAATTCTGGGTTGGGCCAGGATTTTCTCTCCCTCCACTGTTATTGAAAGTCTATTTCGTCCGACAAGAGTTTTAGCAGTCCACTTTTTTAAACTCTTTCATTACTTACTCTCCAAACTTATTTCGAAATACTCTCAATTTCTTTAAACGAACTGTTGATAGGACAGTTCCGTATATAACGTCCATATTCCGTATTTAATGGATATGCAAAAAAAAAAAATACGCTGCAAATGAATAAAGATCTCTATCACTCTTACTGCTCGGATGTCTCTTCCCCCCCCCCCGAGAAAGGCATGAAATACTCGTGACATAGCTTAACATAGCAATCAGTCCACACCCTCTCGATTTAAGTTAAGGAAAAAAGTTAACCCAGAACACGTAACAATATACTTTGTAGTTGGCGCAGTGGTATCTCCATTGTCCGCTGAACTGTCTGTCGTATTTGCTATTTTTGGTTGCTTAAAGTGCGTCCAAGTTATCGCACATATTCAGCTAAACAGAATTCAAAGTTAACTTTATTATTTTTATTTTGAGGAGGTGGGGGCGGGCTATATTCCAGCGAAATCTGGTCTACACTCGCTTAAAAAAAAAAACTAGTTTATTCTTCTACATTAGTCCAGCTTAAAAGTAACGGACGTTGCACTTTGACTTGTCAAGGGCTAGTATCACTTTCAATACTCCTACCCCCACCTACAAAAAAAAGTATAGTCTTCATTCACTTTTACGGAAACTTCAATACTTTAAGGTGAAAAGATTTTTATCTACAAGAATTATTTCTTAAAAATAAAATCTGGAAACGTTCAACTGTGGGTTCCAACTCTCCGCTCAAGTCATTATTGTATGATCAAATTTTCTTTTAGGGGGAACAAGTCTATCGTTACTTCGACTCCCGTAGAACGATACATCTTGCCTTTGTATGAATATTTACAAAGTAGACGGCCGTAAACTTTTTTCTTAACCATGAAATAATTAGTTAACTTAGCTCGGCTAAAAAAACTTATTCAAATATACTTATTTTGTGTAGATGTACAAAGCATGGATTTTTCTAAAGTCCGTAAACAAAGTGATTATGCTTAGAAAAGATAGAAACAGTTCCAAGTGTTCTAGATCAGGAATTTTTCACTTCCAATTTTTTTAGGAAATCTTTCTTTCTTATAAATTTCTCAGGCCAGGCGGACAATAACTTGTTGCAAAAAAAAAAAAAAAGAAAAAAAAGACGTAGATAGAAGCGTCAAACTATCAAGCACATTCTGTCCTCCATCTTCCGAAAAAACTGAAGTTCGAAAGTTACATTTTCTAATTTTATTAATCTTTCTTTTTCTCTACACTCGGTGAGACATGCAATTTTGCCTGTGTTCCTTCGGTTTCTAAAACCGACTAGCGTCAAATTTTGCACTACAATGTTTGAGAACAAAACTGATTTGTTCATTAAGAATAAGAATGTGAGCGGGATTGTTCTAATCTACTGCTAGAGAAGTCTTTAGTTTACACTTTTAAAAATCTTAATCCGTTTTAAAGCGAATTAGCACTTACAACTAGGTCAACTGAAGATTAATAGATCGATTTTATTTTCGGCTGTTTGAAAAACTTTGAATGTTGAAATATTTTATTTTTTTTTTTTTTTTTTTTTTTAACGAAACTTTCCCGGGCGATGAAATATCGGGCCGGAAACTGTTGGTAATAAAAGCCAGATGACACACTCCTTGTCTTATCAGGGTCTTTACATATTTTTTTTTTCTGTTAAAAAAAAAAAAAAAAAAAAAAAACTTGAACTTTGCTTGGTGCGTAATACTTGTAACTATTCAATTCAGTCGATAAGGTCTGTTAAAAATGCTCTGACGAAAAATTTGTTAAAGTCAAATTGGATTATATGTGCAATACCAATACTGAAAAAGATGCAATGAAGAATCTTAAATCTAAGAACTTGTTTAAAAATGAAACCCTGTTGCATATGAAACGGATATAGTCCCGTTTTTAAAATCCTAAAAAACATTTTAGGACTTTGAAATGTTATCAGTCATTTATTTGCTTAACGTGTTAAAAAAAAAAAATCAGGTTATTAAATACCTGAAACTAAAAAAGCTTGTAGAAACCTGAACCTTAATAGTTTTAAAGAATTTTGAAATGGCTGATTTGATATTGAGCGCTGTTAAACAAAACGTTTTAATTATATATAAAATTACTCATCCGCCTTCACTTCAGTATATACGCGTGTGCGTCATCCTTTCAACCCGGATAGAAGGCTGTCGGCACGGATTTGAATGACTACTACTAATTCTGTAAATGCATTATTGTAATGAGGGTCAAATGATTCATCCCTCCTTTCTTGGTTACTGACTTCATCTTCTGGGTTTGGCAGTACCTTTTTTTTTTTTTTTTTTTTTTTTTTTTTTCCTCCTCGTTTGGCCAATTTCTTTGGCGAAGCAAGTAGACGGTAATCGAACGAAACTTAAAAATGGAAGTATTTGCTGGAGGAAGTCAGTTTTTTGTTGACTAACTCGATACAAAAAGAAAAGGCATTGCCATTGTAGATGTATCTATTCTCTCTACATTTCAGTAAATGGAATATTTAAATTAAATAAACACTCCAGCTTACAGTTATAAAGGTGGGGGTGATCGTAGCCATAGAATTATTCCCTTACTTGCCACACTAACGTGTGGCTTTACATGTGCGTACTTTATTCGTCTACATGAATTAATGTGCAATCACACACGCACACATTCGAGTTTGGGGTAAGTTTCTTACTCAGTCCGGACAACTCTGCCGTGGTCTGAACAATAATCAATTCAAAACTATACTTTTTTTTTTTTTTTTTTTTTAAGACTTATTACTAAATTGGGAATTATTAGGGTCTTTAAGTTTTGTAGAAATATTTTTGGTCTGTTATTTAATTAAAGTTAAACCTACTTGCGCACACATCTTGAATGTTGCAACCACTATTCACCGCCCAACTTTGAATAAAAGGAAAAAATAATTCGTAATGTACGGTCTTCTTTGAATGTTGTCTAATAAATATCTTAAATGGACAAGCAATTTACATTTGAAATCTTGTCAGCGAAATGCCATACTTGAGCTGGTTTAGCATCTTTCAAAATCTTAAACTCGTGCAGTTGTCTGTGTAGCTTAATTCCATAAAGACTGTAAACTTAAAGTGAATTTATTTGGATGTGTTTTTTTTTTTTTTTTTTTTTTTTTTTTAATAAATCTCACTAAGTCTAAAACCTGTACTAAAGCGAGAGGCTGAACATTTCAAAAACTGTTTCGATCAGCCCCTTTGACAGTGCTTCTCGTCTGACATCCTTTTCAAAAAGGCCGGACAAGTAGTATGTCAGTTATTTTTTTTTGTAGCGACGAGGCACTATTCAGCTATTAATATGAAAAAAAAAAAAAAACAAACCCTAAACTTTCAGTATCCGAAATCTGCTTTATACATCTCACAAAAGGCAGCGGCAAAAAAAGCCTATACTACTTTCTGCGCGCATATGAAATTCTCTTAACGTTTGATAGCTCCTTGTGTTTACAAGAGCACGTCGTCTGACACTAGAGACTAATAAAGCCTGAATTGGTGGCTGGTTTTTCCAGTTTTGTACATCCAGTCAGACCGGAAATGACATGTAAAACGTAAAAATAATCCTTACGGCGAGCCTTGGGCAAAGGGGTCGCATGCTTACTTCGGGTTATAATGGTAAATAAAATAGTTCCTATTCTAATCGAATACGATAACTCAATATACGGATACGCTTCTACAATAAGAATCAATTTTCTTAAGACTCCTAAGGCCTCTTGTGCTACTAAAGCTAACTTAATGTGTGCAACGGCTTCGATGATGTAAGGCTCGTAGCTATTGCACGCTTAACTCCTCTGCATGCTCATTTGGCCAAAAGCGTAAGGATTTTGAAGGCCAGTTCTTCCATGAGTCTCAACGTTGCCTAGCACGTTCTGTAAAATTTCTGTGAAACTAAACTAAACTTTCAATAGGTGAAGCAAGATTAGTCGCAATCTGCTCCAAGTTGGCTTCTGGTTTCAACTCCCCCCCCCCGTTCGGCATTAGTTTTTCTTTTTACTTTATTCTTAAAGCTAAACGGGAACAATTTACCTAAGAGCTATATTAACGTACGACGAGCGCTATCGAATAAACTT